TTTTTCTGAAATAATAAGAAAAAAGAAAAAAGTATTTTCTAAATATTTAAGCTGAATTGTTACGTGTCAAATAACTCAGCTGAAACCGATTGCTTTATCCGACCCTCAACAAAATTTATAATTTGACACCTCCCCCTCCCTTTTTCAAGTTATTTTACATAAAATAAATATGTATTTTTGCTTTTGAAAGTTAAAAATTTTTAAATGCAAAAGATGGAATGAACTTTATTATGTTGTTAAAAACATTCTCCAGGATATGAGATTAACCTGGAAATATTCTTAACTAAAAATGTTTCAAAACAAAATATGTTACATCGCTAATTGATATCCAAAATTAAACGTTTATTTTGCGCATCTTGGAAACAGCTTTTCACCGATAAGGTGAGAATTCAACATCAAATAATTTGAGGTTTGTGGTGTTGGACATTATTCAATCTGTAGCATCGAAGCTCTATAAGAGTTTGCATTAGGATAATAAGAGGTAAGAAAAGTTGGGAGCATTTGCGCATTATCGTGTGTAATATTACATCATGTTATCTTTATATTACTGTACCTCGTACTGTGTTCCGTACTGGATTAGAAACCGTTAACTACTGTACATAGATAGCTACGTTTTTAAAGGTGATTGTATGCAATGCATTTAATTTTCTTTCATTCCTTCGAGAAACATTGACGGTTTTACCGCTGTTAAAGTTCGAGCTTTAGTATCAGAAGTGCTATTATACTATTGCCCGTATCACTTTTGTATACGAATCGCTTTTCAAACTGTTGCTACCAAATGTTATCTAAAAAATTAAATAATGAAGCATCTGCATGTATGCATGTATGTTCCTCGAAGCCAAAATTTCGAATTTCGAGTTTGATTTTGATTAATTTCATATTTTGCTCAAATTTAATGAATTTTTAATTGAACAAATTCAGCGATGTGAAAGCGAGTATTTGTGACACTGCTGGAAATTAAAACATTTTGTTTCCTCCGGTGTGCCAGACTGTTGACATTTGGCAAAATATAAGATACTTTCTTTTCAGTTTTAATCCTCAAATTCGGCTGTTTGAAGTCAATGTGTTACCACTACCTCACACAAAATACTTATTATCTCCACTCACCAGCGTGTTGCCTTTCAGTAAAGCATAAGATATTTTATTTTCAAATTTTAATATTTCTATTACTGAGTAGTAAACCAAGTGATTGAAAAGCTTACACAATTCTTAGAAATAATTAGACCAAAAGAGACGTTAGTCCAGAATGGGATATTAGTCTTGAAACAGAATTTTGAGTTGAATCACTATAAACTGCATATCATTTTCAAATTGTTACCACCAAATATTAATATAATAATGCCCTATATTAATATATTTTATTAAATTATATAACGAATTATTTCGTTACGCTTGTCTTCAGAAAATTGAGAGATGAAAATTATGTGAATAATTGAATTTTTCAAGGATTCGGATACGGTAAGAAGATAACAACTGAAAAGTATTTCGGTGTAAACTATAGGTAACTATTACAATATTGTTTACAAAATGAAACTTGCATTTCAGTAAGAATACATAGCAATATTAACATTACAATATCTAATAATAGATATCTTCATTTCTATTTCCTTTAACTTGAATCTCGCCCGTTCTTATTGTTGTCTGCGCTATTCCTTAGGTCCAAAACCATCCATAAAAAATAAAAATCTGAAAGGTTTCTGATTTTAAATTATGTCCAAAGTGGCGTTTTGTTAACGTTTTGTGTGTTTCCTTTATTTATTAAACATCAAGTTCTACGTACTCAAGCCATAAAATTCAGTTCAAGAGCAATATCGCAAAATAATTTTAAAATGAGCATATCTTTAGAATTACAGTCGATACACAGTCTCGCGCGCTGGAGAGCAAAACGTTCTTTTTTTCGTACAGTGTTGCCATTGTTCGCTTTGAAATCGTTTATTTTTTAATCAAAAATTCGTTGAAGTGTTACAAAATATGAAATCGGTAATAAAACAATTTTAAATTCAAAGTAGGGCTTCCACATGTCCATATTTTATGGAAGATTACGTTATTTAAATTTTGATGACTCTAGATACCGTTGTTTCTTCACAATGCGAGAAACATACATACATTCATGCAGACTCTTCATTATTTAATTTCTTTAAATAGATAATATTTGGTGGCAACAGTTTGAAACATGATTTGCCGTTTATCGTTTTCAGTGCAAAATGCCAAAACGAAATTAGTAGTCCTTCAGGGCAAATTGCCCCTTTAGACTAATAATTAGAGAAGATGATAGCGTAATTGACTCAGGTAGTTTGTAAAGGGTTCGCTTTTGTTAGTAAGATGAAAACAGTCATTATGCGGACGAATCCTATTTTAAAGTTTAGGGTAGCTCGCTTTGTGAACGCATTAAGAAGCGAGAAAATTATGGTAATATTTCTAAAATTTTCGGAACCTGGAGCTAAAAGGTTAGGGGAAGGAATACGCGAGGAAATACGGTAAGTAGTAAATAAATTTGGTTGCTGAAATATAAGATAAATTGCTGATATAAATATATAAATTTAAAAAGAGCACGATCTCATTTTCTCCTTTTTTCATCTAATTTACTTACCATAAGTATTTCGTGCAGGTTCGTCATATGTATAAACAGTAATTTTTCAAAAACTGCGTCAAAGAAGTTAATGGTTTGGAGTCGCCAGAACATTTTTACGCTTCCTTTCTAAAACATACTTCTGAAGTCATCTACTTCAGTTAATGTGTTTAAAGCTTGGTTTAAACACATTGGCGTTTAGGAATTGAGCGAAGTTTCCGAAGTTGCAATATGTTACGAGATGAAAAAGACGTATGTCACGCGAAGCATGACGTCAATGACTGTTGCGTGCAAGCACGTAAGTAAAGAATCGATCCAGAAATTTTTGGGTTAGTTAATTCTACCACTCAAAGGCAGTTTTTAACTTAAATGCAATTTGCAGGGTAAATATTCATTCTTTTCCTTTTGAACAACACACGATGTTATATCTCGTAAACCTATAGAGTAAACCTCATATCAGTAAAACCGGATAGAGGATCACATATGTTACGAAGAAGTGAATATGTGATATAACATGTCGCATATTTCATATTAATATCAGAAATATAGATTCTGTTTAGAATCATAAATTTTTAAGTTACTTTAGTATTCGTTTAAATGATCATGCTTCTATACTACTAAACTATAATTGTAGAGACATTAGGAATTTTTTGAAAGCAGGTAAGATGAGAAACGAGCAATCGCCTTCGCCGGGAATCGATCCACGGACCTCTGCAATACCGGCCCAGCGTGCAGAACCACTACACCACAAAGGCACGCTAGAAAGGCGGAAGAAATACATTATATACTCTCCCTTTTAAAGGGCGACTGCGGTCTTTAGGGGACACAATGGCCAAATTCTGGGTATGGAGAGTCATCATCCACAACCCTTTTAGTTCGGGCGCCACTGTAGAGACATTAGGAATTTTTTGAAAGCAGGCAAGATAATAAATGAGCAATCGCCTTCGACGAGAATCGAACCACGAACCTCTGGAATACCGACCCAGCATGCACAACCACTACACCACGAAGGCACGCTAGGAAGGCGAGAGAAATGCCTTATATAATGACTGCTTTTTTGTAGTATAGGTTGATCTAAAAGTCGCGGACATCTAATTTTTAAAAATTGTAGAAATTCTAGAATGAATATTAATATCAAATTAATTTTACGTATGACTCCCTTATACTGTTACAAGTAATAAATGTCTTTATGTGTAGAGTTCCTCACTGGGTAATTCTAAGTTACTGTTGAAAGTGAAGAATCTTAAGAACTAGTAAACGAATAATCGCTTGAGTTCGTGTGACAGGAAACAAGATAGAAGGGTAAACTAACCCTTTATTATTCCAATTAAAGTTTAACAAAACTCCGTCTTGGAGTGTACAATAAAGCCGACACTTCGGCTTGAACTTAATAGATATTAAGAATTAAGCTAAACTAATCTAAACTAAAGAGGTATAGCTGAAGCCATCAAAATTCTAACAGAGATGGCCCCTTAACGTTAATAGAACTTCGAAGCTATCAAGGGCCTAAATTACGGCCGACCGTGATAATAGCTTACGAGAGAGTAGCCTAAAAAGGCAGACGCGTGCAGCCAGAATACCTGGTATCTCTCTCTCTAAGACCGAAGAACTTCGCGGTTAAATACCGCTCTTCCTCATTATGTATTCAGATGTGATTCTAAATCTAAGTTCTGGCCGGAAGTGTAAGTTGAAGTTAAGAATCGATAGGAAAGGAACTTTCACTCAAAATTTAACTGTTAATAAAATTAACATAATCCTTACAGATGTTTTAGTCGATGTTCACTCTATTAACTTTAAAAATTGTTTGCATAGTGTAAGATATAGATGATTGTTCCTAGCAAAACGAATTTTTGTGATTGTACATAACTTCGAAACGCATAAATTTGATTGCAATATCATGTTCTCATACTTTTTGGAGAATGTAACAATTTATTCCTGATTTCGTCTATTTTGTCCGAACTCAGATGATATGGGCGGTCGCTTCATTTTTTATGATGAACGCTCGAAACGAAGTTAACAAACGGGAAATCGTTGTAAACTGTTACCTTTGTGAACATTTGGGAAGGTCTCCTTAAACGCTTCAATAACGTTTTGTTAAGAATGCGTAAGTAAATAATGTTGAATCATGAAAATTCCCTCTGTTTAGGAAAATCTGATCTCCTTCCTATCCCAAACAAACGGTTTTAAAGCTAACAGCATAAATGACAACTGAAAATTCAAATGCTGTATTACCTGCAAATGTATAGGGGTGTCACCCATTAAACAACTTGACATTTTAATATTCATTTCAAGTTGTAACCATTGGCATCATATTTGAAAACTTAGAATTTTATGACAGAAAAACTGCCTAAATCTCATTATTTTCTTCATGTTAATTTTTCGGAAGTCTTTCAAATACAGTTCGACTAAAGAAAATAGAAAAAGCACTTACGTGCAGCCTGTTCCTAACTCTTCCAAGACACCTCTCAATCTTCTGTCGGCGTGAGGTTTCTCCAAGCGAATCATCTCCTGCACATCTGACAAGCCTTCTTCCTGGAAAAACAATCACATTGAAAAGGGAGTTAAGTCATGGAGGCATTAAAATGGGAGATATAATTTTAACAAGTGCCCATACTATTTACTAAAACAGAAAATACTCTTTACTAAAACAATTTCTGCTTAATGACGTCATATGGTTTATTGGTGTTATTGCTGCTGTTAGTTTAAAAAAAAAAAAGTTACATTTTAAGTAAAGATGAAACATTCGAATCCTCGAATACCATGAATTTCGGAAAAAAGGAAAAGGAAAAAATATCTGAGATTCAAAAACTCAAAACTTTATGTACTTTTTATCATCCGAATACTAAAAAATTGTTAAATATTTTTGTTAAAGACTTTGGAAGGATTACTGTTAATAAAAAATGTTGAAAAAACTTTTTTTTATAAAATAAGTGGTAACCATGTAGTATAACTCTAAACTCAGTGGCGCAACAGCCCTAGTGGGCAGGGCCTCGAAATCTGCTTTCTTGACCGTGGGCCCCAGGGTGCGTAAGCATATGCCCTGAACAAGTGGTCAGCATGTCGCAGGACCCCAATTGTTTAGTCCTCAAGCGAACTTGGTACTCATTTTATTGACTCAAGGGATGGAAATCAAGGGATGAAAGGCTGAGTCGACCTTGCCCAGCCCGGGATCGAACCCCGAGCCCGTGGTACTGCTGCGCAATGCGCTAGCCACTGCACCACCGGCCTTTGATTTAAGTTAGTAAGTTATTCCTTAAATGGCGCCTCTAAAGAGCTATTTCTAAAGTCGAATGCGCTTAAAAATTGCTTAGTTAATAATCAAATTATTATCTTCCACATTTGTTAATCTTATATTGTTTTAATGAAAATTACATCTTGTTTCCGTTTATTCTTAAAGTGTCGTTAACATTTTCATGTATAGCGTGCAATCAATTTGTTGGATGTCGATTTGTTAGTTATGACGAAAGACAGTTACATAATGTGTCACTATGCGATTTGAAAAATTCATGTATGCGATGTTATCGTCATGCGATGTTTTGTAGGTACTTTATTTTTACCACGATATTTTCGACGACGATGTTTTTAAAATGCGAAGTTTTTGAACCGCTTTATTTTCGACCACGATATTTTAGAACTGCGATATTTTCTCTTACAATGTTTTGTACCACGACGTTTTCTCCTTGCGTTGGTTTCTCCCCGACGTTTTCGTCCGCGATGTTTTCAGCTGTCACCGACACCAAGGCGATATTTACGTTCCAGTGTTATTTCTGAATTCCTTGACAAACATGTTGCCATTTTATGCTGTTAATTTCAAGTTACATTTTACAAGTTACAGTACAGAATGGTTTCTGAAACCTGTAGCAAAGCAGTTCTTACTTGTTATTATTAATATCAAGTTGTAGAATTCTTTGTGCAGCTTTTGACAAACTTTACAACATATTCTCAAGCCAAACTTCACGGTCTTAGAACTGCTCGTTCAACGTCTATTTGTCTTCGCTCTCTGCAGCACATGAAATCATGAAAATGGTTGACATATGATTTGTTGAAACAAAGATTAATTAGCATTACTTTAGATTAATTAGCAGATGGCAAGCCAGAGCTAAAATAATTTGAATAGAATATGATTTCTATTTGTTTCCCAGATGATTTGTGCTAAGATAGCATATAAAATTTGCCTTCCTGCAGAACATTACGAAAACTCAACATTTAAAATAGAGGTGTTCTTATCGTGCGTAACTATGTATTCAGCAAACTGCTGTTTAAGAAGATTGAGTATTTTATTTCAGATACCGAGGTGTTGGAGCTACGTGTTTTGCCACGGATACTTATCCTTTACCAGATATCTTTCAAAATTATTTTCCTTAAACTTATAAGATCTAAACTTTTTACTAAACCTTAAAATAAACTATATCCTACAACTGAACCTGGTGAATTCTCGCACAGGTGTGAATAAAATACCAGCATAGAAGAAGGGTGAAAATAACAATTTATTAATTCAACTCAAAACAGAAAGGCAAGTACTTCGTTCCATACAATAAGACTGACTACTTGCGGTGGAACTGGAACGTTACAGCATAAATCAATTCAAGTCTAAATAGAATAGTGCTGGATTAGCAAGTTAACTTAGGCTAACTTAGTTGACTCAACAAAACATAACAGGCGTGACAATAATCCGAAATGGCTAAGGGATGTATTAGCGTAACAGCGAAATAGCCAACAAAAGGTGCTCTGGCTTTCGAAAGCACGCTCTGAATAAACTAAGAGATCCAAACGCTTAAATACTCACTTCACGCAATTTTAAATTTACATCCTGGCGAGGAAATGCGAGGGGAAGTTGAGAACTTTGGGAACGATAACAAAAATTTGAATAAAATGCTAATTAACTAAAGGAAATCCTACAAACTTAGAACATGACATAGAAGGCGTCCGCCCTACAGTATTAGAGATGACGACCGACAATGGGGATAATAATATATGTAACGCTGACTGCCGTACTGAAGGGCCCGGGCTCGAATTCCGGAGAAGGTATGTGTTTACGTTCCTGTGTTAGAATGGCGCCAAATGGATGATGTAGTTTCGATTTTAAATATCCTTAATAAATTCAAGCACTCTCGGTCTATTCAAACCAAACTACATACATTTAATAATAAAACATTCATACGTAAACATTTAGTAATAATTCAGCAATACAGATAAGCTTTAACATAAGAATTACAACCATTACAGGTTTCTTAACCATTACAGGTTCATTACAGGTCTTTACGACCGAATTCTACGAACGACAAATCTCAAAAGCGTGTTGCCAACGCAGGGCAACGAAAAGGTGGACATCAATTCGATAGGCGTGGAAGTAAACAGTATGCATTTTTATAAATGCATAATGGCTGTGTGGCATGGTGTCACTTTAAATATGTGGCGAGCAGAATATTTTTTCGAGAGGTTTGTGGTAGGGTAAGAGGGATGCTTCGGGGAGCTCTCTCCAAATTAGGGGGAGAATCGAACTGAAAATGGGCTGTCACCTATACTGTGGCAACGACAGGCGCATTTGAGTCCTTGCCACGCTGAATGTCGTGGGTTTGTGCTGGAATTTGTCAGACCTGTGAGATTGGTAAGTACAACAGACGTCATAGGGATAGTACTGCAAATGTAGATTAATTAGTTCTTATTAAATAGTAGTTAGGGCTTCATTCACTCACGCAGATGTATTTCATCGATCCACACCTTACACAACAGTGCAGTCTATAATACTGCTGTTCAAGAAATCAGCATTTTTACCAGTGAACATTGAAAAAATTATATGGAGAAAATAAACTGTATAACTATTTAAAAGAGGACACAACTTCTCCCTTCAACCTTCTAATAACTGGAGAAATTTTTTGGGGGGGCAAATATTTCTTTCTTTCTTTCTTTTTTTTTTTTTTTTTCAAATAACCCACGAATATTTCCTACAACATCAGAAGACGTCATTAGGAATAGAACTGTCAAGATGTGATGAATTATATTATTGAATTAAGTTTTATGTCACCTGTGCCCACCAAAGTCTGCTCTGTATATTAAATACTGAAGGCAACATTGCTGAATTGTTGCTAGGGTGGAGTTTACAACAAGTCAATGATATGAGAAGAAGGTGCGGCCTCTAGGTGCACTTTTATATCACTTTTTTCTAAAACAATTAAATAAAAGTATGACCCATTTTAATGGATTGAGCGTGTGTTATATATTGCATTGTCGTCAGGTCAGCGAGTGTAAATGCAGGAATAGTTTATGAACTTAGTTGAAAGGAAAGATAGGTATATATAAGAAGTTTGTGTTTGGTTACTAACGGTGGCGGTTTTTTTTATATCAGATTTAAAGAATTCTGCCGGTTTTGTTTTATGAACTTGTTGATAAAATATAGGGTCAGTCCATAAGTTCGTGCGCAACACGAGTATGTGTGAAATTCACTATGACGCATATACTAAAACAATACAGTTTTGAGCCTGTTGAAGCTTGCCATCGTTTGACTAACATATTATTTAGTTCATCACCCAACTTTCGTAAATATCGAACCCATTTTAGTACCCACAAAAGATGAATATAGATAATCAATACAAACGTGCTGTGGTACATTTTTCATTTTCGTGTAGTGAATCTGCTAGGTTTGCAACGATAAAAATTAATAGTGTACATGGTGAACACACTATTAGTGTAAAGACTGCCCAGAAATGGTTTAAAACATTTAAAGTTGGGAAAAGCATCATGGATGATGAACCCCCTTTCATGACGTTTTGAACTGTTAGAACCAAATAACGATTAATTCAGAAGTTTATAGTGAACAACTTTGCCGTCTAAACTCAGAATGGATCAAAAAACGCCCACGATTTGTGAATATCAAGAAAGTGTTGTTTCATCATGATAACGCTAGACCGCATACGGCTCGAACAACGCTGCAAAAAATGAGTGAATTTAATTGGGAGCTTTTGCCACTTCCTGCTTACTCCCTAGATATTGCCCCAAGTGATTTTCACTTATTTCGTGCCTTACAAAATTTTTACTGGGAAAAAAATTTAATTCTAAACAGGATGTACACAATGAACTTTCAAGTTTTTTTGCATCAAAACCAGTCTTTCTATAGCAATGGCATAAAAAAGCTACCTGTAAGATGGCGAAACATTGTAGATAATGGAAAAAATATATAATTGATTAAAATGTTAAATTGTGTTTTTTATATTTATTTAAAAATTTACCAAAAAATGCGTACGAATTTATGGACTGACCCATACTTATAAGCAATCAATAAAATACAGGAACAGATTAACCCATTTTACAGAAAATCCATTGGGGCAAATAGTTCGGTTAACAAATATTTTGGATTACGAGCCGGCTTCGAAAAAAATATATTAGTGAACCAAGGTTTCACTATATTAGCATGATATTTTGGCTTTCTATTTTCTTTTATCAACTAAGAAGATAAATTCTTCCACGGATGCAATGATCAGTTTTTATTGGCTGAAGTCGTCTGCTCCGTATTTTTCTCTCTTTCCTTGTTTCTTTATACTTTTACATGCATCTATATTGGTACTCAAGTATTACCCCGTCGACCGTTGACAGAAAATTCGGCAACGGTCGCCAACTGATAATCGTTATTGCGAAATTCTAAAGCAGACGGTCATCCATAATTGGCACTAAATCGCGTTATTTTGCCGGTAGACGGGATAATACGTAAATACCTGCATATTTCATACGATTTCATTACGAAATTTTTACAAGAATGTTATAATACGAATACGTTGTGAAAAATAAATGAATGGGAATCAAAGAAATTAAATTTTATCTCTTCAAATATTAAAAAAAAATATGCTTTAATGAAAACGTTATTTATATATTGAAACAGGACTACTTAAAATCGTGTAATTTATGAGTTTGGCAGTGACTGGAAAAACGCCCACAGGAAAAATGCTCACAGAGTAATGCTCACAGGTATAAATGCTCACAGGAAAAAAAAACCACACAGAAACATGGCCACATAGAAAAAAGCTCACATGGAAAAATGATCACTTAGAGAAATGTGCTCGCACGGAATAAAGCTCACATAAATATATGCTCACATGGAAATAAGCCCACTGATAAACAAAATACGTAGGAATATCCTTACATTAAGCAATCAATAATTAATCGATTTGAACATCGAATACCTACTTAAATTTTAAAAGAAAAATTATTTAAAATACTGAAACATCTATGGTATATATATATATCTATATACCATATAGATATATATATATAAAAAATGTATAAACTTATGTGTAGATTCAGTTGCTGTATAAGATTAACAAATGGGCCGTTTTGAATTAGGAAAAGAGAGGAGGAAAGAAGGAAGAAAAATGAAACAGAATATACAGCGAAAAATAATCACAATGTAATTGTTAAAAAAATAAAATTATAGTAAATATAAGTTACACATTTTATAATATAAACATTTAGAAGAATAAGCAAATATGAGTAGTTATATTATTTAAATTACCTAAAATACCTTGTTATATATAAATCACACATATTGTTGTGTTTTTCTTTTCTGACACCAGTTGTTACGTTATTTTCTTCCTTCACGTTCGTACGGGGTTAGTGTGGATGTTGAGTGAATAACGACGACACTTTAAGTATCGAAACACACGTTATTGGCCGGTATTTTTAATCAGGACAACTCCAAAATCTCGTTCGCAGTCGTCGAACTGTTATAAACACGCTGACACGATTAGCGACACAGCTTTCAGGTTAACAAGCTATCACGGTGGAGACAGCTTCACTGTAAAGCACCAGAGTACAGCTCCCGACTCTGCTTGGTCGTTCTCGGAACTCCACGTGCTCTCCAGACTCTCCACGCTACAACTGGCGATGCACTCGACGACACGCAGAGCACAGCTCCTGACTCTTCGGTTCACTCGTTCCCGGAGCTTAACACACTCTCTCGACGATGCGCTAACCGCGCTCTTCGATGCACTTGACGACCCACTCAGCACTCGCTGCCCGCTGTCAACTCGATCGACTCGAGACACTATCTCGCACTCTCGAGGCGCACACACTCCCTCTCGACAAGGCACACACACACTGACTGCGGACCAGCAGGGTTTATATAGCTTTTGGCTGGTGTTCGAGAACATTCTGGGCTAATCAGGTAAAAATGTTTTCCAGAAGGTTCTCCATCCGTCCATGGGATATCGCCGATTTTGTCACCAAATGGGCGATTTCTCGCCAAATGTGGGAACCTTGCTTTCCTTGCTATTTTATGGCATTCCTAAAACTGCTTTGCTGGGAAGCCATCTTACCGAGTCTGTACATTTCATAGCAATATACGTATATGTTTCATAAACTTACTAAATATTAGATAATATATGTAAATATCTAATTTTATCATCGATTTGATCATAGTTTCTTACATGATTCGCGATTACCAAATGTATTTTTTTTTTTTTTAACTTCAGCACGCGCTGTATTTAAAATAGCTAATAATAAACGTTGACAGGCTAAATCTTTTTTCAGTCCGTCAAACAAAAACCATGTACTCGGATGGCTGATGGCTACAAGTAAATAAGGAATTTAGCACCTTATGAAAGCTTTTGTAACAATTCGTTGTTTTAGGAGATTTTTCGAAAGCTGCTTCATAATGATTCCTTACTTCGATTGGAAACTGTGGTCAGAACGTTTTTAGCTCAATTTAAATAACCACATTAAAACATCAATTTCTATAGATACAGATCAAAAGTATGAAAAAATAGAATAAAAAACAAAAATAAACTATTGGCTTTTACAGGAAAAAAAAATGTTGTACAGGGGGCAGTGGTGTAAAATATTACAGTACATGCAAAATTTTACTATAGTTTTCATTCTTTTATATACCGCCTCTGAAAAGGTTAATGTGAGAATTTGCCAATAACTTTTTTTCAAATGATCAAATAATTTTTCTTTAAAATATTCAAGTAGGTGTACGATGTTCAAATCGATTAATTATTGATTGCTTAATGTAAGGATATTTCTACGTATTTTATTGATCAGTTTTATTTCCATGTGAACATATTTCCATGTGAGCATATATCTATGTGAGCATTTTTCCGTGTGAGCATATTTCTAACTGAGCATTTTTCCATGTGAGTTTTTTTCCATGTGGGCATATTTCTGTGTGAGCATTTATTACCTGTGAGCATTATTCCTGTGGGCTTTTCTCCTGTGGGCGTTTTTCCTAGAACCGAGTTTGACTAATGACATTTAAAAAAAAAGCAGCAATAACAACAATAAAGACAGAAAAAACGAAAAATTACATACGAAAGAAATGCGTGAACTAAATTGTTATATTTATGTCGAAGCTGAGAATTCATATTAAGATAAAAAAATTAAATTCGGACTCTTAGAAATAACTAGTAGTTAAATTGAGCTTTCAAAACGATCTTAGACTTATTTACAGGAAATAATTAGTTAATTACTTTGTAGTATTAGGATTTCAATGCTTCATTTTAAAGGTTATAGCCGAAAACATCGCGGACGAAAACGTCACGGAGAAAACAAACGTCAAGGCGAAAACGTCATCGTATAAATCATCGTAAGAGAAAAAAAAGCAAAGGAAAAACATCGTGGTAAAAACTAAAGCACTTAGAAATTATTGCACGACTATAACATCACAGACGTACGCTTTCGAGGCTTTAAAAGTTGTAAAGGGATATTCGCATAATGACTTGAGGTAACAAGAAGGAAAGCGGAATATTTTAAATTTTATACTTTATATTTTTGAATTAACTAATAAATTTTTGCTGAAAACAAAAGAAGGAATCTTAAGCATTTAAAAACTGAAAATAAGTTGAAAATTAATGCAACCTACAGCACTTAATAGAATTTTAATGTTATATAGTTAACATTAAAATTTTTTCTCTTACTCAATGTTTTCTCTTACTTACAAAGGTCATTAATAAATTAATATTTTTTATAAAATTTTATTAGTAAGTTTTTTATGAAAAATACAGTTTACAAAATTAGAAAAAGGAAGATCATAAATCATTATGCGAATGTACATTTACAACATTCAAAGCCTGGAAAACGCATGTCTGCGATGAGATGATTTGTAAGTGCTTTATTTTTTACCACGATATTTTCGACAACGATGTTTTCAAAATGCCGATTTCACAAGTTTCAAAAGTTTCTCAATCGCTTTATTTACGGCGGTGCTATTTTTTACCACGCTATTTTCTCTTTGCTTTCCTTGCTCCTGCGATGTTTTTTACGATGAAGTTTTCGCCTTGCCTTGTTTTTTCCGTGACGTTTTCGATCGCGATGTTTTTGTGCGGCAAACACCATTTTAGACACATAAACAGAGATTCACTACTTACCAATTTATCACCAATTTTAGCTAATACATTAGAGTTATACATCCTTCTTCTGTGATCTTGCCAAATACTTCGAACCCAAACACATGGCTTGTTGTCCCCATACGGCAAATAATAATACTGTCTAACAAATATGAAACAAAACAATAAATAAGAAACAGACATATAAAGAGTTGCTGCACAGAATAGTTAAAAAAAATAGTTTTAATTCGAAAGCTATTCAGTTGAGGTACTAATTTTAAATTATTCATTTCTGACAAATCTCTAAAGTTAAGCAAGTAGGGTTATTATTTGAAACTAACCAGTTATTATGATTTAGATCTTTAGTATAACTTCTCTTTTCTGTTTCCTTACCAGAACATGAATTAGAGTTTGTTAAAATGTGGTTTTTGCATTGTGAGATAAAGCGTGTTTCTAACAGGGAGGTAGGAAGTAAGGAGAGGCCGTAACCGCTTTTCCCCATACACTACTTTGAAGCACTGGCGATCCCTTCGTGGTGGTCAAAACATTCAGTGAGTTACCATTAAGGGGGGGATCAATAAGTTAGACACGATAAGTAAGATCAATAAGTAAGTCACGATCGGATGTAAATATTTTGTTATTAAGTCTTAAATATACATATAAATGTATATATTTTCTTTTTCTGCAATATTTCTGAGTCCTAAGTATGTGAAAAGAATATAGTTTTAAACAACATTTCATTCTGAACGGAATCAAATGCTGCGCGTTTCACAGAACAATTTGCTCAGAACGGTTTAATTTGAAAAAGTCTTCGTTAATTGCATTAGAAACAAAATTTAAGGTAATTCGAATTTATTCGCTTAAGGATTACAAAAATTAAGATCAAAGTAATAAAGTAGTAAAGTTGTAGGGTTTATATTTATTTTAACTAACATTTATTTTAAGTTTAAACTATCTTTCCTGTCAAGCCCTAGAATTGCCAATGCTAGAGTATGTAAATTGTAGAAGAACGCGCAGTATATTCAAATTTAGCAGAAGTAAGTTGAGTTTAAATAGAAGGAAAACGAGACTGTATGTGTGCTTCTTGAATCGCGAACGTGAAGGTTGCTAGGTAGAAATTTAAGAGCCGCGCGTTTCGGCCTGTGTGCCTATCTCGGCAGTTTGCTGAATCTTTCAACTGCTTAATTAGTAAGCTCGCTGAATCTCAGCTGCATTTTTAGAACGCGGTTAGGTTAGTTAAGATTTCAGAGCCTCGTGGATAGTGATCTAGCTATTTATTCATTCCATCATTATTTTTTTTTAGTTTTACATTCTGTTTCTGTTAAACCGCCGGGTCGGCGTAGTTTGTGAGCGTCAAGTGGACGCAGCTGTTATTTTTAAAGTGGAATAAAAAGGGCTTTAAACCCTTCTTACGTGTTTGTGTAAATTTACATTTCGTAGCAGTCACTACCACAGTTGCTGACAAGTTGGGGCCACACGTTACCACATTTGGCGCCCGAACATCTTACGAACTCAGATGGCCGAAAATTGGATGGAAGCCCCTGTACAACTCCAACAGCAAGAAATGGCGAACCAGTTAGAAGGGTTTGGATACCTGGTCCAAACGATGAGAGCATCTATCAAGCCAACCGTCAATTTCGACGGAAAAAATTCGGTGGCGATATTCTTAGAAGGCCTCGAAAATCACTTCCAGTTATACCTGTGCCTGAAAGACAAAAAGTTGCCATTGCCACATCTGCACTAAGAGGACAGGCCTCACTATGGTGGAAGAGTATAGGGAAATTTTTATTAGGAGAATTCGGAGGCCAAACATATACCTTTGAAAATTTTAAAATATCATTATTAAAGGCCTTCCCCATAGTGAAAGACCGAGCAAAGCTAGAAGCCGAACTTTATAGTTTTTATCAACGTAATATGGAAGATTTGACGGACTTTATTCTGCGAAAAGTTAAGCTGACAGACATGCTGTATGGAAAGAAACCCGACACGGAGATAATTGAAATAATTTTACCAAGATTGCTACCTGCTGTCCAAGATTACTTGAAAATCCGAAATCCAAGCACCTTGCAGGAACTCTTCGAGTTGGCGGTCAAGTTCCAAAACCGACGAATAGCGGAAAAATCTAGAGGGGCATCGTATTCTCAAAGTCCCCGAAGACAATTCTCAAATCAACAGACCGGTAACACAAATCGCTCTTATGGGGAAAAGAGCTATCAAGCCAACTCATCGAAGCTCGAAGGTCAAGGCGCAAAAAGGAAATTTGAAAAAAACCGTCGGCGTACCCAAAAGACTAAAGTTGAAAAGAAAGCTTTAAACGATTAGAGGGGCATGTAAAAGCGAGGGTACAGACCCCTAAAGTTTCGCAAAAACCCTCAAGAAGATACCTAAACACGCTCGTGGTAAAAAATTCACAGTTACCAGTTATACTTGGCTGGCGGTGTACCAGTGTCTTGGTTGGCGATGTACCAGTGGAAGCCCTCATTGATACAGGGGCAGAAGGTAATTTTATGAGTGATAAATTTTTCAATAAGAATTTTAATAGGTTACGTTTATTTAAAAATAAAAACACAGAAATTATAGCCGTCCAAGGAAAAACCTGCCAATGTATCGGGAAATTATCATTAAAAATACAGATAAAAAAAGATGAGAGCCTTAAAGTATTAATTTTTGTGGTGAAAAATTTACAGAATCCAGTCATCTTAGACATGGAGCTCTTTAAGGCCGCGAAAGCCAAGCTTAATTTTCAGGATAATTCGATTATGCTGGAAATGGATCGGAGGGTGGTGGAGCCAGTGAAACAACCTCAGGTAGACCTTAGCCATTTGAGTGTCCATGAAAGCCAAGCCATCCAGCAAGTGGTGAGTACTTTTTCAAACTTGTTTTCAGAACGGCCTGGTAGGTAACTGTCAAATTGTAACACATGATATACAACTAACTGCCGATAAACCCTGTAGGACTAAACCCTACCGGTATGATAAACAGAAAGAACAAATTATTGAGGAACACATTCAGGAAATGCTGCAGAACCAGATAATAACGCCCATAAATAGTGAGTACGCGAGTCCAGTCGTACTATGTAGGAAAAAGAACGATTTCCCTCCTTCGGATAAAAGGGCTTGGAGGTTTGCTATCGATTACAGAAAGCTTAATAGTATTACTAAGTTCCCGGTTTACCCTTTGCCGGTGATAGAGGATAGAGGAAATTATTAGAAAGATTAAGTCTACGAGATACATGACTACGTTGGACTTAACGTCTGGCTACTATCAAATAGCTATGAGACCCGAAGATATACATAAAACCGCGTTTATCACAAAATCGGGCACTTATGCATTTTTACGCATGCCCTTTGGGTTGTGTGGGGCCCCGTCAACATTCCAGAGAGCTATGGACATTGTTCTAAAGCCTGTCCTAGGAAAATCGACTTTAATCTATCTAGATGATATAATTATAACGAGTAGTACGTTGGAACAACATATTAAAGACTTGGAAGAGGTTTTTAAATTATTAAAAGAGGCCGGTCTTACAATTAACGCATCAAAATGCAAGTTCGCGACTAAAGAACTTAAATATCTGGGTTATAAAATTTCGCAAAAGGGTATAGAAACTCAGGATTCAAAAATAAAAGCCATCAAGAATTTCCCACCTCCCAATACCGCCAAGAAACTTTCTTCTTTCCTTGGGTTATGTTCTTATTATCGGTCGTTCATAAAAGATTTCGCGAATATTGTTGAACCGTTGTTAGTAATTAAAAGAAAAAAAGTAAGTTTACGTGGACAGCAGAAGCAAATACAGCATTTGAAAGGTTAAAAGAAGCACTCATCAATGCCCCTGTTTTGAAATTCCCGGAAGGGGACGAAAACCTGGAAATTGCAGCAGATGCGTCGGACTATGCCGTAGGTGCGGTTCTCATGCAGAATGGCCATCCTTTGGCATTTTTTAGTAAAACTTTAAATTCTACGCAAAGGAATTATACAGCTACAGAGAGAGAAACATTAGCCGTATTAATGGCTGTACACAAATTTCGAGTTTATTTCGGCAAAGCGCCAGTAACAGTCTTTTCGGATCATGCGGCTGTTGGTAGACTTTACTCGGGGAAAAACCTAACGCCCAGGTTAATAAGATGGGCTTTAAAACTTCAAGAATATAATCTAATAATTAAATATAAACCAGGGTAAAGAAAATAATGTAGCTGACGCACTATTCCGAATAAAATAAAACTGGACGATGAAGGGAAAATGAACTCAAATGCGCTGTGTTGACTTCAAAAATTTTAGATTCTAGAGAAACAATTATTGCTGAATTGAAAGCTGATCCTGAATTTGGAAGTATTTATGCTTATTTAAAAGACCCCGAAATCTTTGAACATACAGATATCGCCGCAATAAGAAGTAGAGCAGAAAACTATGAAATAATAGATAATTTATTGTTTTATACGAAATCAACAAACGAAAATTTCGAGTATAGACCAGTCATCCCAGCCTCGCTTCGATTGAAGCATTTTGAAGGAATTACACGACGCGCCAAACATCGGGTCATTTAGGGGTCAGAAAGACTATAAAAAGGGTACGCGAGGCGGTATATTTCCCGCAATTATACAAAATAGTAACTGCGTATGTCAGGTCCTGCAATCAATGTCAATTAATAAATGATATTAATTACAGCCCGGCCGGGTACTTAAATAGCATTCGCGCTACATTTCCGAATGAAATTTTAGGCATAGATCTTCTTGGTCCTTTTCCCCAGAGTGAGTTAAATAAAAATCGTTTTCTTTTAGTAATTGTAGATCATTTTTCAAAGTGGACAGAAATTGTTGCCACTTAAACGCGCGTCAGCCAAAAACAGTTGCAGATGCATTCTTACACAGGTACATTTTAAAATACGGTGCACCGATAAAAGTCATTAGCGATAACGGTAAACAATTCGTTAGCCAAATTTTTGAAAACATTTGCTCTGGACTTGGCATACGCCATATCAAAATGGTTCCGCCACAGGCAAACCTCGCAGAAAGAGTTAATGAAAATATTGTAAAAATAATTCGAAGCTATGTTAGCACACATCACAAGCGCTGGGATGGCTACATAAATGAGTTAGCTTATGCTTTAAGAACAGCAAATCATGTTACTACTGGAAAAAACTCCAGCAGAATTATTTTTAGGACGTAA